ATATATATATACATCGAGTGGTGAAATTGATGAGGAGCGAACATCCACACTTAATACCAATTTTCCACATGTAGGGATGTTTAATGTGCACATTTTGATATGTCTATACATTCTGAAGTGTTTGTAATAGGCACACTGAGACATATCGTCGTAGATGTGCTTGTATCTGTTCAAGTCGGTTTTAGGAGTCTGTGTGTCGATTAAATTGATGCTGGTCAATATCCGTGTGTGTTCTAGTACGAGAGCCTGTTTTCGAATCCCATGACATGTGTTATCTGTGCAGTGTACCAAAAGGTCCACATGTACTAAATGCCCCTACCACGCATCAATCCATAGTAAAACCATGCTCACACATTCATGTGCAATACATATGTGTGTAGGTAAGTAAAACCATGCTCACACATTCATGTGCAATACATATGTGTGTAGGTAAGTTAAACCATGCTCACAGATTCATGTGCAATACATATGTGTGTAGGTAAGTAAAACCATGCTCACAGATTCATGTGCAATACATATGTGTGTAGGTAAGTTAAACCATGCTCACAGATTCATGTGCAATACATATGTGTGTAGGTAAGTAAAACCATGCTCACAGATTCATGTGCAATACATATGTGTGTAGGTATTGGGTTATAAGGTCTGGTGGTATTTATATACTCAGTAGTGTATGTCTGGTTTCGATTATATGCGTACCCCTCATCGTACATACACATACACGTTTTTATGCGCACATGCACATACAATTTTTTATGAATTATATGTATGTAGAAGTATCCACAATTAAACACAAACTAACGACTAGATACCTTGTTATGAATTACACATAAGGCGAAGTATTTCAACAAATGCACATACGTACACAGTAGTCAAACAAGACTACGCGCTACTAAATACATACTTTATCCCTGCTAGCCACTTTGCATATAAAGTGCTGTCATTACGTTCTATATATGTGTGTGTCAGTCTGTGCCCGTGTCTGTCTGTGTCTGTGTAGGTGTAGGTGTGTGTTTGTGTGAGTGGATGGGGCTGAGGCCGGGGGTGTGGTTCAAAGTTAAAAACTACCCGTACACGCGTGTGTATCAAATAGTTCACACGATCCATCTACCCGGCTAGAAATGCACAACCACAAGCAAGCAGTCGTGCTTTTTACAAGCTTGACAGTCCAGTGTTCTAACCTTCAGCCATGTGCCTGTGTGTGTGTCTCCATCGTTTGCCTCCTGTCTCTCCTATTCCACTAGCTAACGCACACCCTTCGCTTGACCCGTTGCACTGTTACGTTTGCGGTCTGCGCCTGTTTGTCACACACTCTATCCCACGCGATACAACCCTTCATGCTTCGGTTGGAGTACAACCTTGCTCAGTGCATAGGGGAAGACCGCTCCACAGCTGTCTGTTGTTGTTGCTTGTTTGCCTATCTTTATTTGGTTGCACACCACTGTTTAGATATGTCATGGTCTCGAGACACACCATGCATTCTAGAATACATTCCCAGCATCTACCTACGTGCATCATCGCTGCTAACCTGGGCCTATATGTGAATCCAGAGCAGAGGGGTTGAGTATACGCACAATACACCTGCCCATGTCAGGACAAGCGAAGGACTTACTGTGTCACTTTGAAACAGTATATTGAACTTCAACTGGTTCATTTTACCAGCTACGTGCACTGACCTGAATACGCTATCATCCCTACCCAAGGCTGTCGATGACCTCGAAGAAGGGGCGGAGAACAAGCGCAGTAAAACCACACATGACGGAATAAGCGGGAGCCTCACAGTGTCATCGTTTGGCCTAGTGGAGGAAGGCGAAGACGTTGTGCTGTGGCGATTGAATGAGAAACATTTTCATATGCACATGCGCAACACGGCAATACTGGACTTAATCACTAAGCAAACAGGGGTATGTGACTTATCACTAAGTAAACAGGAGCATGTGTGTATGTGCAGGAGATGGGATTAGAGGGACGTGGGTACTTGCCTCGGATATCTACATGTTCTACGTGTGCCCTCACCCGCCACACGGTATTCACTGTGCATATGTACATGCTTCAAGACGATTTGTACAGGTTTGTTTGTGCATTGGCGAGCGTATTGTAACTTTGCCCCAGATGTGTGATGTTGTACGTACTCATCACCAGGACTTCTTATGCGCGTACTTTGGCAGATATCACTGTGTTGTCTGTGGATTTGCCACTTGTTTATGTGACTGTGTTGTCTGTGGATTTACCTCTTGTTTATGTGACTGTGTTGTCTGTGGATTTGCCACTTGTTTATGTGACTGTGCTGTCTGTGGATTTGCCACTTGTTTATGTGACTGTGCTGTCTGTGGATTTGACACTTGTTTATGTGACTGTGTTGTCTGTGGATTTGCCACTTGTTATGTGACTGTGTTGTCTGTGGATTTGCCACTTGTTTATGTGACTGTGCTGTTTGTGGATTTGCCACTTGTTTATGTGACTGTGGTGCATTCCGCTTGTAGTCCGGAAGTGTATCTGTAGTGCGGCGCTGTGTGTAGTTGTTCGTTAGTGGTCCATGATAACTATGCGTGTGCCGCACTAGGTATGTTTCAGTATCGAAATCTGGTTTAGCGATATGACACCTTTTAATCTGTATATATTCATATCTATATAATATGTAAATGTATATATATATATGTATGTGTGTGTCTGTGTCTGTGTCTGTATAATATATATATATATATATATATGTTTATGTATGTATGTATGTATGTATGTATGTATAAGGGGCGTTGTAAATAACAATATTCGTGTGTTTGTGCACAACTACCATGTCGTAGTGGTTATAGCCACTACAATATCTGTATATACCTATTCCCTTGCTGCTCTCACGTATCCTTTCCATACTCTGCCATCCTCTCCACTGCTTTGAGCTGAGAACTCACACCATACCAACGCCTGCACTCGGTTTCTCTCCTGTAGGATGCCAGTGCCCAAGCGTGTGTCAAGTCTTTATTAGAGATGTCGGTGCTTAACGAACAATCGGTTAACGAGCACACGGGGGTGGTCACGACTCAGGTATGTCTATACGCTTCATGGCTCATGTGGCTCGTTTTAGTACCCGTGCATGTGCGTATGTACACACGCATATGTACATGTGTACACACGCATATGTCCATGCATATACATATGTATACACGCATATCCACATTCATTTCCAACGTATATATTTATTTACATATGTAGGTGCATTTGTGCACACACATATACATATGCATATATAAATGCATGGATTTGCCTGTGTATATCTCTATACCTTATTTGGAGCGGTGTTTCAAGTGTGTACAGCCACGTGCAATAGGCTGTCATACTATCGTATATTCTAATAGGCTGCCATACTATCATATATCCTAATAGGCTGCCATACTATCGTATATCCTAATAGGCTGTCATATTATCGTATATCCTAATAGGCTATCATACTATCGTATATCCTTCCAATACACTTGCATTGGGCTGTAGGTGCTTACCAGGTGTACAAGTGCTTGGTCACTTATATATTAACATCACATGTCTATTAATACTCTTGCATTACGCTGTAGGTGCTTACCAGGTGTTCAAGTACATGGTCACTTGTATATTAACATCACATGTCTACTAATACACTTGCATTAGTCTGTAGGTGCTTACCAGGTGTACAAGTACATGGTCACTTATAAATTAACATCACATGTCTAATAATACACTTGCATTAGGCTGTAGGTGCTTACCAGATGTTCAAGTACATGGTCACTTATATATCAACATCACATGTCTATTTATACACTTGCATTAGGCTGTAGGTGCTTACCAGATGTTTATGTACATGGTCACTTATATATTAACATCACATGTCTATTAATACACTTGCATTAGGCTGTAGGTACTTACCAGGTATACAAGTACATAGTCAATTATATATTGACATCACATGTCTATTAATACACTTGTCTTAGGCTGTAGGTGCTTACCAGGTGTACAAGTACATGGTAACACGCAACATGCTCCCTGAAATGGGTGAGGCTAAGTTAAATGCCAAGAACACAGTGCAGATCTTCGAAGCTCTCGTAGTGCTGACTGACGGAGCCATTGAAACGGCCGATGCAGCCACTACAGGCGCAGGACAGTTTGTTATAAGTATGTGTGTGTGTGATTTGGTGTTAAGTGTGTGTCTGTGGGTGCTTAGTGTTATAAGTATGTGTGTCTGTGGTTTCCTTCCGTTTCTATTTTGGTTTGGTGATAAGTGTGTGTCTGTGGATAATTTCTGTTGTAAGTATGTGTCTGTGGTTACTTTTCGTTTCTATTTTAGTTTGGTGTTGAGTATGTGTCTGTGGTTGCTTTGTGTTGTAAGTATGTGTCTGTGGTTTCCTTTCGTTTCTATTTTGGTTTGGTTTCAAGTGTGTGTCTGTGGATACTTTCTGTTATAAGTATGTGTGTCTGTGGTTACTTTTCGTTTCTATTTTGGTTTGGTGTTGAGTGTGTGTCTGTGGGTGCTTTGTGTTGTGCGTATGTGTCTGTGGATCCTTTTCGTTACTTCTGTTTAATTAGAAGTGTCTTTGGATCCTTTCTATTGTAAGCATGTCTTGGTTTCCTTTCGTTACTTTTTTTAGCTACATGCATGTGTCTTTGAACACTTTCCGTTTTGCGAATGTGTGTTGTGATACCTGTATATGTGCCTTTTGTGTAGACTGTAGTGTATGTCCATTGCAAGTAAGTGTGTGCGCATGTGTCTTTGAATACTTTGTATGTGTGTTGCGATACCTGTACATGTGCCTTGTGTGTAGACTGTAGTGTATGTCCATTGCAAGTAAGTGTGTGCGCATTTGTCGAGGTTTCGACCCCAACAACACAGTGCAGAAATAAAGACCTCGCACTACTGACTGAGGGTGTCAAGTATGTGTGGAGATACGTCTGCCGTTAAGTCATACATTTCTATTGCATTTATGTGTAAATTGGCCTTGTTTGTGTAGGTGTTTGTCTTTTACGACATACATTTGTGCTGCATTTATGTGTAAATTGGCCTCAAATACATTTGTGTTGCATTTGTGTGTAAATTGGGTGTTGCACTTATGTGTACATTGGCCTTGTTCATGCGGGTGTTTGTGTTAAGACATACATTTGTGATGCATTTGTGTGTACATTGGCCTTGTTTGTGCGGGTGTTTGTCTA